ACTTTTGGGAATGTACCAAGTCAATAATCCAATACTGGAAATCACAAATACTAAGGCAGGGGACACGGGAAGGATTGATTTCACTTGTCTTTTTGACGAGTTCGTAGCTTGGTGCGGAGACTAGCAGCACTGAATGATGATGCCGACTACGATGCCGGCGAAACGTTTGAGAATGTACCAAGTCCACTATTTGATGCCGGGAATTATGATAACTATGGTAGAGGACTTCGGAATAGATGCGTTCTACTACGTCTCGCGTTTAACAAGGCCAAGTTGCGATAATTAAGTCAACCCACTTCTATTAAGTTATTCGAATTTGAGGTATCAAAGGGGCATAGTTATCTTAGAGTTAAAGTGCTTGAAAATCCCACAGATTTTAATTGAATTCGGCTTTCTGATGATAATATGAGTAGATTCTGTTGCGTCTTGAACCTCAATTAAGCATATAGTCATTATGACTTCCGCGTTGCCACAGAATCTCACCATCTCGGTTGCTCGCTTTCGGCCACTTCTCCCTCTTATTACCTCCAAAAAAATTACGCAAACTTAATCTCACACTTATTGGTACTTTTAAGACCTCTTGTCTCTCAGAAACGAGTAGTTATATATTTGTATGGTTTTTATCTGTTGACATCAAGCATACATAAATCAGCCACTACTTAATCTTCGTCACTAACACGACTATAATACTTGCCTTGTACTAATATATATTCGTAGTCTGGCTTATAAAATCATCCTAACTCATTCATATTTTAACGACTTATCATAATTCACCCCCCAGTGCATCTATCTTCTATCACTATCTACTATTGCACACCAATCACTCTTGTATTTCTCTTATTCTGACTCGTGTTCTGCTGATGTTGACCACACATCTTCGCTACCCGTAACTTTACCTACCATACCAAACTAACCCCTTCATACTAAGCAACATATTTCAAATCAGGGGTCAACCTTTACGTCCTGCAAAGTAATAAGTAGAATGAATTCCTGCTTGAATTTTTTTTCTCCCAGTTTACATCTTCCTTGTGGCTAAGACATTGCCTTGAGAAATTTATACGCTTCGTTATCAGATAACTAATTTCTCTTAACCTCAACTGAACTAGCTCTGTCAACTATTTCTTCCTAAAGGTGATAGTCATAACGCACCTGTACCGCTTCTTCACGCCTTGCTCTTGCTTCATTACAAAGTCTGTTAGATCTTCGCCTTTTAGTGGCCGTCTCCACCTAGCGTCAAAATACAAAGCATACTTCTCCATATACCTTTTTGTTAACTCCGCGCCTATATCAACACAGCGTTCTTATGTTGTGCTTCCTCAGCATGGTCTGTTGGACTTTCCATTTTGCATCGAAATTAAAACAATGTTCTCCAAGGAGCTTGTAGTCTTTCGCCTCTAAATTCATTTATTTGCCTCTTCGCAGTAATAGGACTGCCTGGACCGACTAATCAACTCCGCATTTACTCATTGTGTCCATTTTCAGCATCTAATGGTGATATCGGCGTGGCCACCTAAGATCTTACCTTGGTCGCTTGGTTCCCGCTATTTTCTCCTGCTTATTCCCTTATCAATTCAGTCCATACAAACTGCATGCATATTTTAACCACAGTCATGTACGATATATATAGCGTCTACATTCTTTCTTCTACCTTATCTCTCCTTTTTTCAGATGACCCATCCCAATACTCAAGGAGTCAGACTATAGCGTGGCATTAGCAACTCTTAATTTTTGTGGTTGTCGCGATCCCATTTTGACTCACAATGGCACAATATATGCAATTGCAATATAATAGGAATTTAATGCTTTATTATTCTTTTTCTTGCTAGTTATCTCAGTAACTTCTCAGCCCTGCCAGTGAAGTGCAACGATTTGTTATAAATTATTAGAATATGAACCATCACTTTGATTCCTATCTCATGGTTTAACACATTTTTGCTGGCCTTAGCAGTTTCATGTGTGTGTTTGGCATATTCCTTAACTTTTAAATCTAACGTGCTGTTACATAGATGCGATAATATCAGCCTGGTGGTTATATCTTGTAATATTTAGAGATTAGAAGCCTGGCTCTGCTTTTTAAGCAATCTCTGAGATAGATCTATATCTTAGCCACAAAAATGTATTTATAAGCAAACTCATTACCCTGGTTTTAGCTTATGAAGAATATGTCTTTTATGAGACCATAAATGAAGCCTCCATAGCTGCTTGTTATTAAGACATAAAATATAATATGTTTTTATCTTTTAATTCTTCATCTTTTATTAGATGAATCAAGGCTTTCTCCCCTTTCTACATGGAATATTGACGACTGGGAGTTGACAAATTTTAATATGCTCTGTTCTGCTGACCGGTTGGCCCAGCTTTGTCAAGAGCTGCCTGGCCTCCTTCATTATGCTCCTCGAACAACTCATTTGCGTCGTTCTATAGCACCTTTATTGTCGCCCCCTTCTATACTCCCTACTCTCAATAGTGCTCAGACTGTGTTGTCTTCTCAAACTGCTAGTGCTCCGAGTTCGTCTACCGCCTCAGAAAAGACTAGGCATTTATCATATGTACAGAGTTGTGCTCAAGCCTATGGAAATGAACGTGATCACTCCGGCAACACACAAGTGTCTGACCGAATGTCACCACCTTTACAGAAGACACAGTCAGCTGCTCTGCAAGAGACGCCTACGTTAATAGGTTCGTTCAAACTTTGTATCCACTATTCGAACATTTTCTGAAGACCTATAATTCTATAGTTTTATTTGACTGTATTTAAATGGATCCAATCCTTTTCTTTCAGTGCAATTACTTTTCTTATTTCGCAACATATTATTTATTCTTTATTACTTCAATTATTTTTCACGCTCATCTTTTATTTTCAGACCAGACTGCAGTGCATGCTGAGCAATTGTCACTCAATAAGCACCTTGTTACTCCTGAAGTGCAACTTTCTGTGTTCTCTCTTCTCTCGGGCAACACAATGGGTCCTAGTTCTGAGGCCTCGAAATCCGTGTCTAAATTCGTCGAAATTTCATCGGATAAGAAAGAGAATTTGAAGCCAATTGATGACTTGCTTATCGGTGCACATCTACTCGAGCAACTTCCGGTATGTCCCTAATTTTTTGTCAGGCCATTCTGCACTGGCACATAACGTACACTTTTTTTAATGTTATAATTTATATTAAAAATGTATTCATATTTAGTTTTTGTTAACCATCGATTGAACTGATCGTCTTGCTTTAGTGATTTCAACTAAATAGTATGCAACTAAACATAGGACAAAATCGCATTCATTTTTTCCTTGAGTAATCCATGGCAAATTAAATCGAAAAGGGCGAAACTATACTCTAGGTCCCAGGATTTAGTCAAAAATGATTCAGTCTACAATACAGGTTCTGGCCACAGCAACTGAACAAATTTTCATTACCTATCTTATGCATTCTATGAAAATTGTGCTCATGATTATGTGTTAGCACAGCATTTTCAGATCATCCATGATAGACTTTAATAACGGCATGTTTTTTAGTGAGTTTCACATTTCTACTTAAATAGACTTGCCATTACCCACATTAATTCTCTCACGTAAAAATTGTCATTACTATTATAATAGCCTTATACATTAGTAATAATAATGCTATTAATAATTACTATTGTTGCTGTGTGCCTTATCTAAATATATACTCACTTTTTAATAATACCTAAATACCAGAAAATTAGTTGATTTTCCTTAATGCTCTTGGAATATGAGCATACATAATTTTTCGGTCGTGTGATTACTATATGATTTATTTGACTTTTTTGGATTATAAAGGCTAACATTTCGTCTATATAATCTGCTTAAGCCAACTCATGGTACTCTAAAATTTTACAGATTTTTATTTTATTTAAATAGTTGCCATATAGCTCCGCGAAATTCTTACTATTTTTTGCAATGAAGCGAAAGGGTTTGGGCCTCGATTTTTGAACACAGGAGTAACCATTTTATTTCCTTATGACTTTGGCATTCATAACTCGCAAAGACTTTCAATTGAATTTTAATTGTTTATTTCGTTTTTACAATTATGTTCATATATATTATTTTCTTTATGTATTGACATTGCATAATGCCCATACTCTCCAGTAAAATTTCTCTTTCACATTTATATTTCAATCATATCTGTAGGGCCAATTTGATTTAAAGTTTATTTTGAGATCACTGTCATATTTTGTAATTCGAAGTGCCATAATATATAGCTTATTATTCTACCTTCTTTAATAATATTATTTATTTAATATATGATGACCAAGATGTTGTGGCCTCTGGTGTGGTCGCAGTCTCCTTTCGATTGATAGAAGTGGGT